GGCGGGGCGCGCAGGAGGAGGCAGCCCTGCCCTGCCCTCCCCTGCCCTGCGCGGGTCCTCCTGCCGGTGTGCTGCCCGGGCACCTGCGACAGGGTGGTTATGTCGAAGCTGGAGCGGTTCGGCGTTTGTATGCGTTTAAAAAAATACATATATTTGTTAGGGATCCTTACGTGGAGGACTTTTTTTTTTTTTTTAAGTATATCGAGAGAAGACCTGCGCTAATTCTGTGGCACAGAGCATTAAGGAGGCTAATTCTCATGTTTGCTCATTTGTGTGTGGTGTTAATGCAAAGATTAATAAAATGCCAGCGTGCGGTGCTTAAAGAGCCAGGAAGGATTGTTACAGCACACGAGTGCTGGAGTACTAACACAAAGTTGACGTGAATCTAGTGAAGCTGTGGTGTGCGTTTCTGATTGCTGTGCTGTCCTTCAGACGTTCTTGTTGCGTTTGTGCTTGCTGCTGAGGTCCCCACAGAGATTTACGGTACGGGTTCTTGTGTATGCAGGGCAATTGGCCTTAAGGGGCATTAATCTTTCTTAATTTTGTACTTACGTGCACCTGCAAGATCTGGATGGCTTTGGAGGTTTCCCAGTTAGAAATCACTTGGTTTTGGTTAGGCTTCTTCTTTCTTACCTATGATACTGTAGTCTTATCTAAAATCGTTAACTTGTTTAAGCCGTTTATTACTTTAGAAATGCAGTGTAAACTATAAACATTCGGTATCACAGCAGTAAATGAAAAATGCTGGCTTAAGCACTAGCTGTTCCCTAGGATGCTTACTAGTGTCATTAAAAAAAAAAAAATCAGTTTGCCAGAGAACAAAGGGAATATTGAAGCATTTGCCCTCAGTGAAAGTAGTCAGAATTAGACCGTTGTTAGTCATGAGATATGCAAGTGCCAAATGCAACTTCTTTTCATTTATGAAAACAAAAATAGAAAACAAACTTGCTGGTAAATGATAGTCAAAATTACCGATTTTTTCAGGCTGTGGGCAAGTTGTAATTGTAAGCGTGAGTGGTGTTACTTGGCGGTAATTTAGTAAATCTTGTCTAGAAAGAAATACCCCTGTTTTACTGCCGAGAAGTGTTTTGGAAAAATTCAGATCCTGTTATAGCTTGAAAGTTGTAGCACTTCCTGGCAGCTCTTTGTCAAAGGATGAAGATTGGATATGCTTGGGTTCTGGAGGCAGTTTGGGTCTCATACAGCACCCATGAAATAACTTTTAAATTTCCTGTTCAGCCTTTGTATTTAAAGTATGAATTAAGTCTTTCTGTGTTGTATGTTACTTTGAGTTTTTTTTTCTTAATTAGCTGCTTCTGTCAAAATACAAATAAAGTGGGTAGATGTCAAAGCGAATGACATAACAGTTACATTAAAGTGTGATCTATTTTGTAGCCTTAAATTGGAATGTGAGAAACTGGCAAGCGAAAAGACAGAAATGCAGAGGCACTATGTGATGGTAAGTATATTTGGTTTTTCTTTATTTCAGTAAATATCTCCCAATGCAACGTAAGCCAGCATAAGAAAATAATGTATGCTCCTTTATTTGCAGTATTATGAAATGTCGTATGGATTAAACATTGAAATGCACAAACAGGTAAGGCATTTATTTTCTAAACGACAAAATCTGCAGTCTGTCTAGTGCATTTAAATGTAGCTGTTCTGTTTGTGTTCGGATGACTGTATCGTGTGTCTGAATCAATAGGCTGATTTGTAGCCATGATTAGTAAACCTTTGCCTACCTGCTGTCAAATGAGGTACAGATTAGATTGAGCAACAAGGCTTTCTTGGTAGTGGTCCTGAAAGACATTGGCAAAAATAGGAAAGGTCTTGAGTCTATGGCTTCAAAAATATAATTCAGTGCTTTACGTGGTTTTCTTTTGTTGGTGGTAGAGCCTTTGAAATGTAGAACTGGTCTTATGCGTGTGTAGCATGTGTAGTGATAGCTGCTCAAATCCTTGCTGTTTAAAGGTATGAAAAGATTAGTGACTTGGAAAGCTCTAGTTATGGCTATGAGTTTGCAAGTTCCCATAAAATTCACACTTATGGCCACTATAATGGTGAATAAAAAGAGTATTGAACTGGAACAAGACACTAAGGACCTCATAAGAGAAGAAAAGCTAAATGATTGCTCAGCCCAGAGGACCCTCAATTGAGTAGTCATTGTCTGCCAAATAAAGCATTAATGGCAGGGTGTAAGTATTCTGTAGATATGCTGACATTCACTTTTTCATCAAGATGCTGGTACAATAAGTATTTCAGAAATCGATGGCCTCTTAAAAAAAATTATCATTAGATGAAGTTGCACAGTTGGACACATTTCAAAGTGCAACAATACAATTCTTTTGTGATGTGTATGTGCTATTTCATCTAAAACTCTTGTTTCATTAAATTAAAGAGCATGGCTGACCGGCTAGGGCACAGCGAAGCAATTGATTAGTTCAGGCTTCGGATCTTCAGTATATTCAAAGACTTTCATTAAGCAAGTGAATTGCAGAGTTGAATTTTGCTTTTGTAACTCTGAACTCTTTGATTTTGTTTCGTTTTCCCCTAAAAATATTATATTTGATAAGGTGGTATTGTAATTCCATGATAACTTTACGTCTGCAGGGCTGCGTAGGTATTCTCTTGGTTTTTAGAGGTACACTTGTTTGAATCCAAAATGCTGGTAGAAGAAGAAATACGACAAGCCCCCTTTTTTGAGTAATGAACCGAATAGGTGGACAGAGCAACTAAAGTAGTGCTTGACTTGGTTCTGTACTGTAGCCGCGTTAGTTGTCGTGATTTAGAAGAACGTAATTTTTTTTTCTTCAAGGTGACTTTTCCAGGCTTTGTGATTTGGAAACTTCTTTCTTGGATATTTTTTTTTTTTTCCTATCCTAAACAACCTTTTGGCATACTGTAACCTGTGAGGAAGCCAACATCTGTATAGGAGCCTCATTTGGTGCAAAATGGATGTTGTTTTCAGATTATTTTTGAAGGGAACGTGTGACTTCAGTAAATGTACTAGGAATTAACTTCAGATAAAATCAATTAAGCCCACAAGATTAAAGAGTGTCAGAACTGAGGTTTCCACTTTGACCTCAACATCTGTGTATTGCAAGGGTTTAATGTTCTGTATGTATGGCAACTACAATTACTTACCCAGTAGGCAGTGATACTTCGGAAGCTTTTAAGATTTATGACACAGCATATACCTATGTTGGTTCTAGCTGGGGAGAGTAGAGCACACTTGCTCTGTGTATGCTGTTAAGAAAAGAATAAGCTTTTGAAGGCATAAATACATTTCCCTGGATATGAGTCTCAGATACTATGCTTTTACATGTTAAGTAATTCTAATTTCCAACAAAAGTAGCACCTTCTTGTTAAAGATTCTTGATTTAGATGCCTGCAATCAAGATGCCAAATGGTGTTACAGTTCAATATGTAAGTGGTCTTAGTTTTTTTGTTTCCTGTAATCTACCAATGACATTCTTCTGGATTTCCACTGCTGACGATAAGTTCTGAGGAGGCTTTTGGCAGATAGTAATCATAATTCTTATTAAAACTGGTGAAGTCTAGCCCCAAGGGTGTAGCCAGGCTCAAATTGATGCTTTTTGCTGGCTGATCACCAGCATGGCCTAAGTGCTCATTATGTTGTAGAGAGGGCCTTTGGAGCTCTCATTACGTTTGACAGGAATTCTCTCTAGGGGGAAACTGGGCATTAGCTAGACTCCTGACAGGCTGAAATTATTCCTGCTTCATGGCTTATAACCAAATGCTAGCAAGGCATCATCAGGGGACACGAAAAATTGTCATTTCTGACAACATCTTTGTTACTGAAAAATGCAGTGATGGGGAAACTTTCCACTGAAAAAGCTTTAACGTTTTTAAGGCCTGCCTCCTATGTGGATGCTGCGCTCACTCTGTGTGAAGCCCTTCAGAGTGCTTGGGCTGCTGATTGAAAAACAAAATACACTGCAGCAGTGTTTCTTTATGCAGCGTGGTGCATACATCACTGTTAAGGTAGAGTCACTTCAATAAAATGAAGTAGTTGCAGTTTGCCTGCGTGTGAAAGGGTTGATTTCCTGTACTGACACAGTTGCATCAGCACTTCCCTCTTCATTTGATTTAGTAATCTATTACAATTTGACTAAAACAAAGTTAGTCAGGACTTGAATGTTGCTATAAACAGACTTAATTGAGGTGAACTTTCCATACACAAACAGCTGTACTGCAGAGCTTTCCACTTGACTATGTTGCGTTTGAGTCCAGAAACGGCCATCGTAAAGCTTCCTTCACAGCTTTAGCTTTGGCACTTTGCAGGGTTTAATTGCATAACTGTGTGCTTAAATCAGGTACTGCTGCTGTATTTCAACCTGCTGGCTGAACAGTGGTCAGGAAATAATCTTTTTGGCCTATTTGTGGTTGGTTTCTTTTTTTTGTGGTTTTTTTTTTGGTCTTGTTTCTGTGTGTTGTGTTTTTTTTTCTTAATTTTTATTTTTTTTAAGAATTTCAAAGGTTAGTTCTTAAGAGGATGTTGTGTGTGGATTCTTACACTGTTTTCAGAGATAATTATTTTCAGGTGAATAGTTACTGACTAAGGTTTGCATACTTGAAACAGAAACAGGCACCTGAGGATTCCTTTAGGATGGATGCACTTGATTCAGATATTGTTTTTGTATGTGTCAAGAAGACAGAATGAATAAGGACGTTTCATGTGGTCTTAAGTTTCTCTTCTGTGTTATACCGCCCAAGTCAGATTTTTCCCGCTGTGACATCCATGGCTGGCAAAGCAGATGCATCAGCTGTTAGTGCCAAGATGTAGAGTCAGTTGGGTGTTAAAAATCACGCCGTACTTAAAGGGTTGCTGCCCTTGGCTATTAGGGCAGTGCCTCTTTATTTTCACCAGCTCTGTCTGTCATCTTCTGTCATAAGTCAGAAGATAAGGCTTCCTGTGCATTTAATGCCTAGATTGTTTAGGTGCAAGATTAGCTTGTGTTCAGTGGGAGGCAGCCAAAGAAAGAAAAATTCATCACTACGGTGACAGCTAGGTTTCCCTCTCTTTGGGTGGGTTATTGTGATCTCTGTGACCTGCCTGGAGGCAGACCTGTCATTCAGTACCTTGGCTCTTGTAGAAAAGTATACAAACTCCCAAACTGCATTATGTTAACCAATTGTACAAGAGTTAAATGTCTGTTTTAGCCTGGACTGTTTTGTGGAATCATTTCTAATGCTCTACGGCAAAGGACAGAATCTTCTACTCATATCTCATTAGAACATCAGTCTTCAGGAGTGGGTTAAATAGAAGAGAATTAAGGAGCTTAGTTAGCTCTCTACAGCTCCTGTGAGTAGGATGGCTGTGCTGTTGAAAGGGATTTAAAGATAAATTAATTTTTTTTTCTTTTTTCCTACTTGCATTTTAATTATTGGAATGAAAAACTTCATGAATCCTTAAGATTTTGGTGGTGTGCAGTGAGCGTTTCAAGAGCATTTTACAGTTGGCACTGCCACATAAGACATACAAAACCTGCTTTTATTTAAAAGAGAAAATGGTAAGGTTGATTGGGACATAATATTTTTCACTCAAAAAATTGTACTTATTCTACAAATACTAGGCTTCTAAATGAGTACAGTTGTGTCACCGGTGCAGCCATTTCAACCACAACTAGAGCTGCCAGTTTGCATGGGGAGGAAAGACTAGAGTAATGGCCTCAATTTTCTCCACTTTTGAACCACATTCAAGCTCGAGACCAGCATTGTTGTTAAGGAGTTATCTGACAGATTCAGGGCACTGTGTGAAATATGTCTCCAAGCGGCTTTTAGATAACCATATTGTCAGATACCATCTATTATGCCAACTCCATATACAACTTAATCTGAAAGTATGTCACAGTGTAAACACTGTACATATGTTAAATACTGCCAGATCATGTTGCATTTTAGGCTTTGTCTACCAGATTTCAGGTTCCTCACAGAACCGTGGAGGGAGAGAGGAAATGTGTTCCTCCCAGCTACGTTGTTAAACTTCCCTTGCATTGCTGGAACTTAAATTACGGAAGGCCTGTTGATGTACTTTATGGATTAGTTCAAAATTGGACAAAAAAATTTCCTGGTATTTTTTGGCGCAGGGAAAAGACTAAGAGGGAAGATGCTTTGTGAATGTGCAGTACCCATTCTGTCAGAGTCCGGGGAAAAAGCTTAATGCTTTTCTTCCTTCTGCTAGTTGTTATACCAAGTCAATCTGAGCATTTAGATTGCTTTTGCTCCCACCCTACTCAAGCACTTAAGTGTTTGTAGCAAAGCAGTAAAATTGCATTGTGTCTCCTGTGCAAAATGCAAGATAGGATCTTCTAGGTTTGACAGTAGGTCACTGTTGGTGTACAGAAAAAGCCTTTAAAAACAATTTTAAGTTAACTGGTACTTACCAGAAGACTGCACGTTACTGTTATTTTAAGAATGATAACAGTTTTGAGTAGAACTAATGAGGTTATCTTTCCACTTGAAGTAAGATTTAGGGATATCTAATGGCAATTATGTCAAACTACTATTTTCATCTTTTGCATCACACTTCTTAGTTGGACTCTGGATGTAACTATTTGAGCAATAATAGTTGCT